AGGTCTTAGCACTGGTAGATACTGGTGCAGACTGCAGTATTGTTTATGGGAACCTGGATAAGTTTCCAGGCAAAACTGAACTTATTGATGGTTATGGAGGCCTGTCAGTGAAAGTGAAACCTGTGTCTTTGCATCTTAGCATTGGCAACTTGGCTCCCTGCCTGTACACAATGTACATTTCACTTATATCTGAATATATTCTGGGGGTGGACATTTTGGATGATCTGGACTTACACACCATGGCCAGAGAATTCAGACACCAAGTCAGCGTAGTAAAGCTGGGACTGTGTGGACATACACATAACCAGGCCCAAGTTCTGCCAAAACCCTGATGGGTTACCTCCACATGTCAATACCATTTGCCAGGGGTGCATACAGAGATAACTGAGACTATTAAGAAGTTAGAGAAGGTGCAAATAACGCATGGAACCCATATCTTCTACAATTCCTCAGTATGGCCAGTCAGAAAACCTGATGAGGCTTGGCGATGATAGTGGATTATCAGAAACTGAATAAAGCAAACTGAATTAAAGTTACACCACCTCTGCATGCAGCTGTACCTTCTGTCACGGACTTGATAGGCCACTTGACAATGGAAGTGGATGCTGCCACTGTGCGGTGGATTTGGCTCATGCTTTCTTCTCAATTAACATTGCCCCAGAGCCAGGAACAGTTTGCCTTCATGGGAGAGTGTCAATGGACTTTTCATAGTGTTGCTGCAGGGCTATTGTATAGCCCCAACATGTGCCATAATCTTGTTGATAATGTTATGTTAACCTCCGATTTTCTTACAAATCTGGAAGTGGCAATGCCCCTCTAGCCTGCGAATTGGGATGATGTGGCTGAGACAGCCTTTCCTAGTAGCCAAGCAGGCTATTCAGCAGGAACAAGCCCTACCGGTAGTTAGTCAGGGGTGCCCATTTGAACTAAATGTGCATGTGACCACAGATAGTATGCCAATAGGCTTTTGGCTCTAGTTATGGAAGGGAGCTGAGCGCCATTATCCATTAATAAAGAAGCTGTTAGCAACCGCTTATGCTGCCCCTCAGGCTCGTAAGAGCATGGCAGGATGGGCTACATCGTCGTGCGGATGACTTACCTGAAAGCATGGCCGGGTGCATTCATGGGTAATGACGACCCCCCATGGACTGGGATGGCACAAACATCCACTTTAGTGAAGTGGGGTGCCTACTTGGAGCAGCGGAGTACGCTGAGTACAAGTCCCTTAGCAGCAGAGTTTCAAGAAGTCTTGGGACCTGGAGTCCTAATACAAGATAAGGCCAGGGGGCTTAAGGCACCCCTAGATCCTGAGCCTTCACCAGTAGGAAGGGCATCCCCCCATTTCTAATAGGGCATGGTACACAGCTAGGTCTAGCTGAGGTGTTACTGCTGCCTGGATTACTGGTGCAGTCCAGCCTAGTACTGACACTGTATGGTTTAATACCAAGTGTGAGCAAAGTAGCTAATAAGTTAAACTCAGGGCAGTGTAAATAGTGATCACCAAGGAGGTAACACCCATGGCAATCTGCAGCAATAGCTGGGCAGTTTATTAAGGCTTCACTTTGTGGTTAAATACCTAAAAGTTACAGAATTAGCTAGTTAGTTACCAAACCATGTAGGGCCAGGCTATGTGGCCAAATCTATAAAAGGAAGGATGACTTTCTCCAACTAAATACAGGGATAAATAGCAATCTGTTATTGCCTCCCCCGGTGCCCCTTAAGGTAGGGAAACAAACAAACAAACAAAACCCTGGTATTAGCCACGGACCCTCCAAGCCCCTCATTGCAGGTGGTTGGCCATTGTAACCCCTTGGAGGGTCTGCAGTATGACCAATCTTTTACTTTTTGAATATTTAATGTGTGGCCTCCATGATAGGCCATCCATAGTTGAATGACCAGAGAAGGGACCCTCCTCCGGGAGACATGTGTACTGTCTACGTGGCTATCATGAGCTCCCCTGTAACTTTAGCACAGGTAGAGGATCCGAAAGAACCATGGAGAGCAGATAAGATGTGGTACCATCGCCCAGGGCAGAAGCCCTCAGTGGCTGCATCGTTATCCAGAGATAAAAAGTTAGCCTGTATTTTGCCTAAGGAATGTGACTTGCCCCTGTTAGTACCTGTGCCTGCTTTGTCGTACCAGTCATAGGTTGGCATGCTCAAACAGCATCGTGAAATGGGCCCACACCTACACCAAGGTGACCAATGTCTCCAACTGTTGGATCTGCACTGCCTTTCCAGCAGCAGCTGCAGACAACTTGCCCTGGCACATGCATCTAGCTTCTATGCGGAACTAGACGTGGCTAGAGGCTTGGGGTCCCACGGACAATCGGTGGGATGCAACACAAAAGGCTTTGGACAGGGGATGTCTCAGAACCCATGGCCAGCCTGTCCCCTGGCTGACTCATAGCATCCATAATGGATGGGGCTGGCTAATGGGAAAACACGTGGTGCCCCTAGTTCAGGTTCCACGATGCACAGAGCAGCACTGGGGTAAAAACACTGTGGGATGGTTGTCTGCTGAGATTTGTGCAAACATAATACTTGTCACCAAACCAAGGGTGTGGTGGAACAAGAGCCCTTACCAAGGCTGGGCCCCCATGGACTTTGTGACCCCTGGGAGTTTATGGTTGTGTGGGGACACAGGATGGCCATATCTGCTAGTCAGTTGAACTGGATGTTGTACCTGGGGGTGGCCCTATGTGCCTGCCACTGTTCTTCCCACATTGCCTAGTCATCCGTATAACTGGGAGACACTGCATCCTGCTTTTTGTGAGTGCGGTGGGCCCCTGGGTGGTTCTATCTCTTAGCAACAACTATCCCTGGACCAGGTGCCATTACTGTAGAAAAGCAGGTTGCAGCCTTTGCGGAGGACACAGCTCAGCCGCTGCGTTATACCTGAGTTATACCTCTTTCTGTTAACTGATGAAGTTGATCCGATCAGGAAGGTGGTGCTGCAAAACCAGATGGCCTTAGACATAGCCACAGTTGCCCAAGGTGGCACCTGTGCCCTTATAGGGACACAATGTTGTACATTTATCCCTGACAGCCACTGGAACATAATGACAACTTTACAATGGGTGTCACAGGGGATTAAGACAATTGAACACCTTACTGATGAATCCCTGCAGAGATGATGGGTGTCTCTGGGCTCTGGCTTATGTTGGACTCTCATAATCACGGGTAGCATAACAGGAACATTAGTGGTAGGTTGTTGCTTTCTGTGTGAATCACTACCAAAGAGGATCCCCTTGGCCTAGGGGAGTGGAGTGTAAGAAATATGACTGTACTGCAGCCAACCAGGCATAGGGCAGCAGGGATATGCCAAGGTAAATATTCTGGATGACTAAACGGGTTTGTGGCACAGGCACACAGTTCCATGTTTTCTATAATCATAGCCATATAGACATAACATAGAGAAGCTCCCCACCTGGCTGTCAGCCACTATTGTTTGTGTAGTGTGTAAATGTAACACTGACCCTATGAAGGGGCTGTTGAATAAAACCATGTGTCCTTTACCTGCTGTCTCTCGAGTGTTCGTCCAGCTCCCTGCCCCACAGCCACCCACTCCCCTCAGCTCTCAGCTGGGGATGGAACCTGACCCTGAGCATGACAGTATTTTTATATCCAGGTCTATCTGTCATTATTTCAATATGTATACAGAATAAAGATATAACATTTCAAAGTTTTAATAGGTATTTTTACTGATAGTAATATAAAAACAAACTTCCTTACCTGTAAAAATAAACTTCCATACCTGTAAAATCTTATTTGTTCTTTAAAGTATACCGACAAGAGTAAACAAATGGAAGAATACTCTGACATAAATTTTGCTGCACTTAATGTGTTTAAAGAAAGTATTTGTTTGCTCGGATGTGGTGGCTCATACCTGTAATTCCAGCACTTTGCGAGGCCGAGACTGGCGAATCACTTGAGGTTGGGAGTTCAAGACTAGCCTGGTAAACATGGTGAAACCTTGTGTCTACTAAAAATACAAAAATTAGCTGGGCATGGTGGTGGGTGCCTGCAATCCCAGCTACTCAGTAGGCTGAGGCACGAGAATCGTTTGAACCCAGGAGGCAGGAGTTGCAGTGAGCCAAGATCGTGCCACTGCACTTTAGCCTGGGCAAGACAGCAAGACTCTGTCTCATAAATAAATACATACATACATACATACAAAAAGAAAATACTTTTTTGTTGCTCCAATCTGTGAGCAAGAAATTTACTAAAACCACAGGTGACGTTCAACGCCAAGTCAAAACTGTTTCTTTTCTTTCTGATTAACACAGGAACCCAGATAAACTAGCTTTAAATTAAAGGCCCAAACCCAGGTTTGAAAATGCTGACTAATTCCATTGAAAGGTTACATCTTTTCAGGAGCTCTTTATTTTGAACATGTGACATTGGAATACAATCTGGTAATTAGTTAGGTTGGCTGAAGAAGTGACTTATTGGATGGGGTAGAAAAGCCAAGATCTAAGCCAGGTGTGGTGGCTCACGCCTGTAATCTCAGCACTTTGGTTGGCTGAGGTGGGCGGATCACAAGGTCAGGAGTTTAAGAGCAGTCTGGCCAATATGGTGAAACCCTGTCTCTACTAAAACACAAAAAGTAGCCAGGCGTGGTGGTGGGCATCTGTAGTCCCAGCTACTCGAGAGACTGAGGCAGGAGAATCACTTGAATCTGGGAGGTGGGGATTGCAGTGAGCGAAGATCATGCCACTGCACTCCAGCCTGGGTAACACGGGGAGATTGCGTCTCAAAAAAAAAAGAAAGAAAGAAAGAACAAAGGAAAGTTAAGGTCTGTGAATTTAAGATAGCCTGCAATACTGAAAGAAAATTTCAGATTCCTTTGCACACTTTAAAGATTTATTAACAGATATATGTAGCTAGATAAACATATGCAAATACATACAGATATATAAAGATATCTATGTAATATCTATTTATGAGTATGTTTTGTAAAAAAAAATAAATAAATAACCAAATTAAAAGTAAGTCAGGAGAGAGCTTCAAAACAGCCTGGTGGCCTCACTTCATATCCCAGCCTGTCCATCTGTCCAGCAGCCAATGCAGCCATCAGAACTGGCACATCCTGCTCTGGGCTTTAAACATGACCACTTGCCCCCCATGCCCTGTGAAAATGTTGGTGCTTTTTGCTTTCATCATCACCTTCCACATCAACTCTGCAGCCTTGCGGGTTCATCGCCACCATCAACAATGCCTGGTAGGTAGGAGATGAGTTTTTGCAGATGTCTGGAGATTATGTACCAACAACATGAATTATACAGTAATCAATGACACGTTTAAAAAGTACTCCATACTCCAGGTGGTCCAGGCCACCGTGATCCTCTCCACCATTCTCTGCTGTGTTGCCTTCTTCATCTTCATGCTCCAGCTCTTCCGCCTGAATCAGGGAGAGAGGTTTGTCCTAACCTCCATCATCCAGCTAATGTCGTGTCTGTGTGTCATGAATGCGGCCTCCATTTATACAGACAGGCGTGAAGACATTCACGAGAGAAACATGGAATTCTATTACCTGACCAAAGAAGGCAGCAATGGCTACTCCTCCATCCTGGTGTGGGCGGCCTTCACCTGCACCTTCAGCAGCGGCATGATGCACCTGATACTGAGGAAGGGCAAACGGAGTTCCGGAGCTTGGTTGCTTCTGCTGCAGTACAGAATCCACATTCAGATAACCATTTTGTATATAATCATTATTTTTTTGAGGTTTTTCTAGCAAATGTATTGTTTCTTTTAAAAGCCAAAAAAAAGAAAAAGAAAAAATTCAAAAAGGAGAAGAGTTTTTGCATTCTTGAGTTCAGAGAATAGACTATGAAGGCTGGTATTCAGAACTGCTGTGCACTCAAAAGTCTCAAGACACAAGCAAAGCTCCAGCAAAGCTCAAATCCAAAAGCGCTTGGAGGGACATTTCTTAACCATAGGGTTGTGAAGGGAGGAGATGAGAGGCTGGGAAAGCCAGGTCTCTGGGGATGTGCTTCCTATAGGTTTTAGCTGGCTCAAGCTCCTCCCAAATCGCTCTGCTAGTGGTAGGTGAAAGGGGGTGAGGTGGGTTGCAGGAGAGGAATGACAGTTTCCTGAAAGGTTTAGCCCAAGTTCCAAGTGAGAAGCAGGTATTGTCCCTGACATTCTGTCTGTATCCAAACCAGAGCCCAACCAACCCTCCTGTATAGGGGCGGGTCAGAAAAAGTTTCACCTAAATTTGCTGACAGTGTCACCTGCTTGCCTTAGGAATGGCGATCCTTTACTTGCATGCCAGATTTATACTCACCCTTTGGCAAAACCTACAGTCCCCCCGCCCCCCCACCAGACCTACAGAATCAGTCTTCAAGGGATGAGGCCAGTGAATCTGCTTTTCTAACATGCTCCCTGGGCAACACTTCAGATGCATTGAAGTTGGAGACCACAGTCCCTGGGCCAAGTGAGCAGAGCTGCCTCATAAATGCTAGGATGTCATCATGTGGAGATGGGGAGGTGGGTGTAACTCCCACAGCAGGCCAAAACCTTGGCCTCCATCACCACAGCTGTCTACATCCAGGGTCACCAAACTCCATTCCTGGGCCATGTGAACTCACAGACACCTTCAGGGAGTGGGGTGCAGCCTCCTTCCCATCCTATCCCACAAGCCCTCTCCCTTCTTGTCCAGCCCTTCATGCTACACCTGGCTGGCCTCTCACCCCTATTTCTGGAGCCTCAGAGGATGCATCCACCATTCATTCATCAACATAAATCATGACATGCATGCATGTACCAGGCACAGGGGATACCCTCTCAAGACAATCTCCTTCTAGGGCTCATGGCCTAGTGGAGGAGACAGATTAATAATTAATTAGAAAAACTAGCAGGGCACAGTGGCTTACACTTGTAATCCCAGCACTTTGGGAGGCCAAGGCGGGTAGATCACCTGAGGTCAGGAGTTCAAGACCAGCCTGGCCAAAATGGCAAAATCCTGTCTCTACTAAAAATACAAAAGTCAGTTGGGCATTGTGGTGCATGCCTGTAAACCCAGCTACACGGAGGTTGAGGCAGGAGAATCACTTGAACCCAGGAGACAGAGGTTGCAGTGAGCCGAGATCGTGCCACTGCACTCCAGCCTGGGCAACAGAGCGAGACCCCATCTCAAACAAACAAAACCCCAAAACACAAGAAACTAATTACACACTGTGATGAGGCTGCAAAGAACACCACTAAGAATTCAAAATCAACCTGGCACAGTGGCTCACCCCTGTAATCCTAGCACTTTGGGAGACCGAAACAGGCTGATCTTGAGGTCAGGAGTTCAAGACCAGCCTGGCCAACGTAGTGAAACCCCGTCCCTACTAAAAATACAAGAAAATTAGCTGGGCATCATGGCAGGTGCCTATAATCCCAGCTACTTGGGAGGCTGAGGCAAGAAGAATCGCTTGAACCTGAGAGGTGGAGGTTGCAGTGAGCCGAGATCACGCCTCTGCACTCCAGCCCAGGCGACAGCCCAGCCCAGCCCAGAGACTCCGTCTCAAAAAAATAAATACATAAATAAAATAATTCAAAATCGAGGCCTGTGGCATGGAAGGGAGCCTGCTTTATGTGTGCCTATTTTTAAATGCTCCTGGAGGCATTTAGATCAGTTTAAATATAGCTCCATTCAGTTCGTGCAGATGGCATTTATTGGGCAGTACCCATCTGTGTAACATTCAGAAAACACGTCCATGGAGGGGCCTATGGTCCTGACAGCAAATGCAGTGAGAGGATCCCATAGAGCCAGGGTTTTCAAGCTTTAGGGGTTCCCTTGCTGCTTGGGACAGGCTATTTCAGTGAGTCTGGGGGAAGGATTCCCAGGTGATTCTAAGACTATGCTGAGAAATAGAGCTTTTGGGGGCTTGTCCTTCAGGATCAAAGCATGATGTGCTATGCAGCAATGCAGGTCACCCAGGAACTCTCCCAGGATAGAAGCTCTTTGCACCTCGTTGTCTTTTTCTGCTTATGTTAGAGCAGGATGCTGGGAGCTGTCCTGGGATGGGGTGTGGGACCTTGTGCTATTTAAATACTTTTGCACTTGACCTTGTGCTGAGTGAAGTGATGATTTGCCATCAGCTCAGTTCCAGTGGAACTGAAGAGACATCTGGTTTGGGTAGTTTTAGGGCAACTGTGGATATCTTTTCAATGCAGGATTTGTTCTTTCCATCTACTCTTTCATTCATTTTTGACAAATGGTATTAAATGTTTACCATGTTCCAGGCAGTGTGTAAGGCTCTGAAAATGCAGGGGTGAGCAAATCTAGATAGCCTCCCTGCCATCGTGAAGTTTGCAGTCCATGAGATAGGACCCCCTCCCTATGGAGAAGCCACCAACACAGTACAGGGTGGCTTGGGGGCCACCCACAGGACAAATGACACCTTCTGCCTCAATGAGAAACTATCATTGGTCATGTGGGCAAGAACATGTTTTACACCCCCAGGGTTAACAGGATGCTACCCAAGCTCATGGAGAAAGTTGAATCTTAAGCTTCCTTGAAACTTTCTACCTTGGTGGCTTTTCTATAATTTTCTGGTAGTCACAATGGAAACAAACAAAACACCTTAAAACCAGAGATCAGCCCCCAAGCAATACATGAATTCCCTTCACAAAAAATGTCAGGGCTGCATGAGTATCTGTGTTGAATGCAGTCTGAGATGATCCTGTGGATTTTCCCGGCTGGTTGCCACTACTGTACAACATTCAGTGCCCACATCCACCGGTGCCAGTAAGGTTTTATGAGACATGAGAAATGACTCTTCCCTGCTATGTGACTTGCATTTGGGAAGTTGGAAAGAAATAATGACATCAGGGAGAAAACATTCAACCTTCTTACCTGTAGGTAGAATCAGCCTTCACTTGGTGCTTATTACCAGTTATTCAAGAACAATAACAATGACAAAATTAGTTGACATCCAAGAAGCAGATATTAGGACCAAAGATAGCATCAACTATATTTGAAGGAACTGTAGTTTGTGCATTTTATGGCACTTTTATAAAGTACTGTAATTCTTTCATTGAGGGGCTATGTGATGGAGACAGACTAACTCATTTTGTTATTTGCATTAAAATTATTTTGGGTCTCTGTTCAAATGAGTTTGGAGAATGTTTGACTTGTTGGTCTGTGTGAATGTGTCTACATATACCTGAATACAGGAACATCGGAGACCTCCTCACTCCCACACTGCTATAGTTTGCATGCATTTGTGCACACCCCTCATGAACAGGTTGAAATTCTAGGATGCTCTATTTTAGCTGATGATGAAGAAACATAAAACTCCAAGCCTGTTTGTAAACACGATAAACACAGTGGCCTAGATAAAAGCTGTATCATAGTTTAAAATCTGCCTTAGGGGATATTACTAAATATTGCTAATAGTTATCGCTAACTATTAGCGGTAATAGTTATCGCTAATAGTTATCGCTAACTATTATCGCTAACTATTATTTATTACTAAATATCGCTAAAAGGTTACTTACAACAGAGCAAGTTGGACAGTTTTGTGGTGGTGTGGAAATGCTAGGACAAGGCTAGAGGTTAATTTTGAATCTCGGTTTGGGGATAAATGTGAATTTAGGGTAGTTAGAAACTTTCTACTTAATGTACCTTCAAAATAGTCAATTTTCTATGTTTTGCATAATCTGCAACTGTATATGGAAAATAAACTTTAAAACCAAAAAAAAAAAAAAAAAAACTAAGTCAAAGGTCATTTCCCTACTTACTCTTCTCAGGCTAGGTGAATACAATCAACCCATTTACTCAGCCCTGATGATTCCAATCAGCCAATTAGCTCAGCCCAGTTTATTCCAATTAGCCAATTAGTTTGGTCTGGGTAATTAGCTCAGATCAGGTAAATCCAGTCAATTACCTCATTCCAGATGATTTCGATCTGCCAATTAGGTCAGCATTTTTTATTTCAATCAGCCAATTAACTCAAATCAGGTAATTACAATCAATTAGCTGATCCCAGGAGATTAAAATCAGCCAATTAGTTCAGCCCCGGTGACTACAGTCAGCCAATATTTGAGTCCCAGATTATTTTAATTGGCCAATAAGCTCAGCCCAGGTGATTTCAATCAGTGAATTAGCTCAGCCCAGGTGGATTCAATCAGCCAGTTCTCTGAATATCAATTGTAGATTAATCAAGATGGACCCCCAGCGGTGGGTGAGAATAGCTCATGCATATACTGAGAAGAAAATCAAAGTCCAGAAATGCTAACCTGGACAGAAAGTGTTACATGGCTTTAATATCAGCTTATTTCCCAGACCTTGCCCCTGAAAGTGAAGCTTAGTTTGTCTATACAAACAACATTGTATAGCTACTTTCCATTCTGACATGCTACTGAGACAGAGAAGAGAAATAATTCTACATCTTCACCCTTAGAATATGCTAAGAGATTGAGAAACGTCTTGAGGAACAATTTTTGTGTACATATTTACATAGAAATACTCATATAATCTTGTATATGTATCAGTCTTTGTATGTACATTCATACAGGACGAAGATATAGATTGTGGAAGGATTAATATGTACTGTTACTAATAGTAATGCAAAAAGAAAATAGAATCTCACACATGGATCAAGTCAATTGTTGAGATTGTGACTCATCTATTTGGCTCCAATACACAGGTGTTGACTCTCATACCTAGAACTGGGACATGCATGAGATTGTTAATCTCATTACTGGGACTTCCTGCAGGTGTGATTGTGACATGCACCTCACAGAACCTTTGTGATTTGACACATCTGCCTGGGCCCAACCCAGATGGAATTGTGACATATCACTGGACTCAGCCCCTAGGTGATGTCACTCTATTCTTCAGATTTACCACTGCTCACAGGGGATTGTAACATATCACTGGGCCTTATATCCAGGTGATGTGAGTCTCCTTTCCCTCTTTGTTGCTGCCAACAGGGGGCATTTTGACGTAAAACTGAGCCCCACACCCAGGTTATGTGACTCTCTTGTCTGTGTCTGGCCTATACTGGCCATTGTGACATGTTGCTTAGTCTAACACCCAGGTTATGTAACTCTTTTGCCCTGGCCCTGTCTACAGAGAGCATTGTGAGGTATCTCTGTGTCCACCACAGAGGTGATGTGATTCTCTATTGACTGTTCCCTTCTCAAAGGGGTTACTGTGACATATCACTGGGCCCAGCACCTAGCTTATGTGACTTTTCTCTCCTTTTTTATTTTTCTTTTGAGATGGAGTCTCATTGTGTCATCCAGGCTGGAGTGCAGTGGAGCAATCTTGGCTCACTGTAGCCTCTGCCTCACAGGTTCAAGCGATTCTCCTGCCTCA